AAGAGTTGGCACCGCAGTTGGATCAAATTCATCACAGTGGTTTGGATCAATAGGCACGCAAACATGTCCTGGAGCAAAGAAAACAAAGTATTGTAACAAAACTAGACCCCGACTAGCAGAAAATTCAAAAAAGATGGCTGTGAACACTTCTATAAAGTTACAAGAGGTGATTTTATCTTCCATGTCTTTGGACCATTTGATAATTTTAGTTCAAATTTTCACACCCATCATTGATCAGGAACCAACAGAATTTCCAGGTTCCCACCTGTTTTTGGATGTACGCAGAAAGGTGCCTTCAGCAAATGGTTCATGTGTCTTGACACCTAACAGGCACACAGAGCAGTCCAATGTGAAGATACAGTTGTATAATCATGTAAAAGTTACAGACTTTATAAAAGTTTATAATCCACTATCTCCATAACTGGGTCACCCAACATGGTTGCACTCTTGGAGAACGTAAAACTTGTTTTAAAGGGGAAAGAATGAAAAAATTGGCAAACAAGGACGGATATTGCTCATACCTCCATATCAAGTCTCGGATAGGTAAAGGAAAACACAATCTCTTCAACACACCTACGCAGCCCTTGTGCCTGAAACAAGGAATGGAGTAAAATGAACAAAAAGAGAGCATGCTGTTTACAAGAGCAAAAGGCTGTTTCATGCATGGCCGACAAGAGTTCTTGCCCTGGAGTCGACAAAAATTATTAAATGCTTGAACTCTCAAATGTCAAAAGGCAGGGTAAAAACAAAATAAAAATGGGAAGGCATTTATTACAAGAACTGAAATGATTGAAAAGCAAAGGTTTCTGCATTCAAGAGATCCATGCTTTCCATATGCAAATGTGAGGAAACTTAAAGGCTAAGATTCTGATAGAAGAAATGGGAACAAGGTCTTGGGTTTGATCAGAAACTTTTTTTCCAAGCCATTTCAGCTTCCAAAACAGTAGTGTTCGTAGTAATATTTGCACCTCTTAAAATCTGACTGCAGTCAATTGTCTTCAACAGCAGTTCAATTTCTCCTCTATATGTTTTCAGCCAGTAACAATCTCCATCATGCACGGACAATATCCTTCAATCAATTTCCAATATGTTTCACAAAATCAGACAAACACACTTGAAGCGTTCCAGTAAGGAGTTTGTTTCTTTCCTTTTGTTCCTAAGAATCCATCATTGATCCTTTTCCTCAACTATTTTCACCTTGCACATAATGTCTCTTCCTACTTTCAACTCCTAAATACTTCTACTATCACTCAAGCATTGCACCAGGGACCATTGTTTGGTGCAATAAAACAAGTAACTTGCAATTCCAAAGTGGCCGGCTCAAGCATTGAAAGTAGATACTTCACTCAAGCAGTTTGAGCGGTAGGATAGGAGTGTTTCATGTCTCCCTTCTACGATCCCTGGT